ATGTATATATAAATATTATATATATATATATATATATATATGACCACATACCAGTGCCCTCCCCGCATTCGTCGATGGAGCCTGTCAGTGTGCTTTTGCTGTTGAGAATCATGACCTTGTACATGCTGATAACCAGCACCCGTTCGTCTTCGTAGAAAATCGATTCAGCGCCGGACGAATACCTCGCATCCTAACGAGTGCATAAGTATGCGAGTATGGGTGTGAGAGTGCGTTTGCACGTATGCATGTATATAGTGGAAGGTTTGGGAGCGTGCCTACACGCGTACGAGCGTATAGTGGGGTAGGTATAAAGGTATTTTGAAGTGTGTGCGTCTGTAAGTGTGAGTGTGCAGTGTGTTTTTCCACTCGAGGACTATGACCTTGTACATGCTTATATCGACCGGCAATCACATTCTCATAAAATCGATTCGGCATCCGACGACTATCTCGCATCCCAAAGGGAACACAAGTGTACGTTTGAATCATTCAGCCTTGCATGAAGGTAGATACCTAAGTGAACTAGTAATCCTACCCATTTGTGTAGAGGTGCGTGGGTGCTTGCCCGTGTGAGCATATACAGAGGTAGGTGAAGTGGCTAAACAAAATCAAATGCATAGCCGTGTATGTCATAGATGGTTGCATGCACTCCACCGCTCCACACGGCACTATCCAATACGATATGATCGAACAAGAACACAAAGCCGACAGGTACTTGGCCTACGCATATCCAACCGAATATCACCAGCACAACGGACACCGTCGCCCAGCCTATGCAAACCACATCACGTCATAGAAGGTACATACCCAGTTGAGGATTGCCACCCGTTGAAAGTGGCCTCGTTCGACGCAATTCGCTGCCGCTATCGCCACGTTGTTGAGTCTGTATACGGACCTGAACACAACAGGGCAAGGTGTAACCAATAATGTTCAGCTGTGTTGTAAGTAAGGACGCTAAAATACAACATACCGCTTGGGTGTGGAACGAATGGTGCTGAGGAGTATAATAACTGACTAGATGTATCACACCCGAAAGGCGGTGAATTGGCTATAGATACGGGTCACACAACGGGCCTGAACAACTCATACATGTCGAACGGATGAATAAGATAGACTAAATGGGTGCAACTTTGCAGCAGGCGCAGAGGACAAGGCGTCCGAGCGAGAGGAAGGAGTGTGAGATGTCAAAATAAAATATAGATACCGGCAGGTACTGAATGGAGAACAATAAGCCAAACACACGGATGTATGTATTAAGATACATGTTCGGGTACAGATACGCATAAATAAGTTGCGGTTGAGACATTTGCATCACCTAAACATCTTCTAAGCAACCGTCCCACCGCACGCCACCCCCGCACATACCTGTTTATCATTCATACCCCACACCACACAAACGTATAGACCTTCTCAGCACCCATCATCTCACCCACGACCTTCACATGCCAATATTCCTGCAATATACATACACATACAAATTCTTCCTACAGCCTGTTCATTACCCACCCACCACCAACCATCCGCCACTTACTCGTCGTTGTCTGGTGCAATCAGATGCCCTGACGGTCGCACCACCGCCGCGCCACACATGAAAGAGTTCTCTATTATCCTGTACGCCATTTCCAGCACACATCCCGCTGCCGTAATGGCCTCGTACTTCTCTTCTGAGTGGTCTGGTGTGTCGAGTAGCTCGTTTTTGTGCACCAGGTCGATCTCATAGTCGGCTGCCGGCCTGCCCGAGAACTTCTCCAGACCATTCAGGATATCCGCTAAGTGGAGAGCATCCCATATCTATGTATAGAAGGTGTAGACGTGAGCGCTTGTGCATTGTTTGACTGTGCAGACGTGTATGTATGCGGGTTTGTTTTTTATCGTACTACACTGTCGGTCTGTAAAACGTGAATACTTCTGTGTTTTGGTACTGTTCGTCTGTATCAATGCGTTTACTGGATGCTTGTTTGTACAAGGGTGTATGAGGGTGTGTTTTTGTACTTTATATCGCTGGAAGAGTACGCCTACTCGTCAGGTTCTTTTACAACACTTCTGGAAATGTCATATGTATGATATTTTTATACTTCCTGACTAGGAATGATGGCTTAAGCGGGCATGTGGCGGGGTCAGTTTAACCTACATGTATGTCTGTCAGTAGGCTCGTGGGGCAATCTCTCCACATTCATTTTTTTAATGTAGAACGTAATTTGCACTATACTTGGAATAGCAGCATTATGTTCTTCATATTTATTTAGAAAAAATACAACCCACGCAACTTACTTCAGGTCATACCTAAACCGCAAATGTATCTAATTTCCAAATCGAATACAATCAGACCATCAAGCAACCCAACCACATCCCAACAACCACTTTACAAACCCACCTTTGGTATAACGCCGGTACTTTCTCCATCTGGATCCAAGTCTCCCTTGGGGTACACATTGACTACGACGCCCATTGTAGGTTGCCTCTCACCCTGAGTATCGGTCTCGCTGAAGTCCTGGTTAGTTCGACTGTCATAATAGTCGTTTCGCGCACCATTCCTTCCGCTGTGGGCATTGTTTAGTTGATCTGTGGAACGTTGCAGTATTTGTGAGATGTGGCATTATATAATCCGTACGTCTACTCTGAATCCACTTAAAAAAACACAGAATATAAGCGTCTGAAAGAATAGATATTTATGAAGCTCGGTACAATCATATGATAACATTTATACATGTATATAATATTATATAATAGTATATATATATATGAGTGTGTGTATATGTATATATATACATATATATATATATATGTGTGTGTGTGTGTGTGTGTGTGTGCATATATGTATATATATATATGTATATATATACATATATATATATATATATATGTGTGTGTGTGTGTGTGTGTGTGTGTGTGTGTGGGTGGGTGTGTGTATGTATATGTATATATATATATATATATATATATATTTATATATATATATATATATATATGTATGTATGTATGTACACACATATATATACCACATTTCACATATATATATAATATATATAAATATATATATGTGTGTGTGTGTGTGGGTGTC